AGGTTGGGAGGAAAAGCGAAGTATGTACTGCAGGGTGGTAAGGATTGAGCCATGATACAATAAAGTGCACAATACAGTTTCGAAAGGTAGTTGTCAAAAATAACTAAAATGGCTGTTTAGCACTTGTGAAAAACTGAAGTTTTAATTCTTTTGATATAAAAATATTTTATTGACAAGTATCCTGTAAGATATCTGAGGATGTTAATATATTGGATTTTAAGGTTAGCTTCTTTTAAAATGATGTCAATCTCCTCTAGTCAAAATTCAGAGTTAAGATTAGAAAAGGTAACTTTGGACAGTTTTACTGTCCCCATTATGCTTTAATAAAAAGTCTTTGTTGATTGCCTTAACCTAATTTAACCTACCCCCTGAACTCCGAGAGTGACAATGTAACCAACTACATCTGTGTGGTGCCTTTTAAGGAGCTGGGGCTTGGACTCAGTGAAGAGCAGATTTCCGAAGAGGAAGCACATAACCTGACAGATGGCTTCAGCTTGCCTGCACTGAAGGTAATCCATTTGTGGAAGGGAAGGGAGGTTGAAGGAAAGGACGGGGATTGTGCCTGCGCTTTCTGACCATAAATGGTGCACCTGTTCCCTTTCGTTGGTGAATTCTGTCATGTAATAGCCTTACTGATGCTTGTGAAGCTGTCTTTAAAAGTGGAGAGCATCATAAAGTTTAGATAAGAAGACACTTATAGTTTGATATTAAAGTACTTAAAATGTTTACCATAAGTATTTCTTGCCTTCAAGTTTAGAGATAAGTGAGTTTACTTTAATCGGAAGCCAATATGAGTGATTTTATTTACTATTTGTTTCAACAAACATGGTTTAAGAACTTACAAGATCTACATCTTCCCTTGGAAAATCTTTAAAATTCTTTTTTAGAACAAGAATTTTTTCATTTATTAAAAGCTACATAAAAGGATACATTTAACTACATAAGAATTAAACTTCTATACCTCAAGTGCTACATGAATACTTTACATGTAAACAGGCTCAGGAAAAAATGCAATTTTTAAAAATTCTTTCTATATAAAGAGCACTAAGGTATGTAAAACCTGTAGAAGATAGGTCAGGTGCGTGAACTGCCAGTTCNAAGTTTCTTAACTTTTTCTATCTTGCTTTATATTTTTAAAATGGCAGTAATAACTTAATCTGTGTTTTTGTTGAGATCAAATAAATTAGTGCATATAAAGTGCTAAGACAGTGTCTGGCTTATAATAAGCAGTCGAAGACTACATGACAAATAAATTGATCACGTAAATTTTCTAAATCATAAAAATAGTTCTGTTAGTCAGGTAATAAAGGTATATAAAATCTTTAGTTAAGATTCCTAAATAAATTATGAGTAAATGTAATGCAAAGACTACTTTATACCTTCAGCATGCTTAAGGTTACTACTGTAGCACTGTATAATAAAATATATTACATAATGCTTAAAGTTTATAGAGTGGTTTATATTCTCTCGTAATCTTATATAAACCTTTTCAGCTAAATTTTCTTATCTCCACTTTATGAGAAAACTAAATATAATCTCCACTTTTTGTGATTTGCTCAGTGTTACACAACTAGTAAGAGGTAAAATTGTGTCTTTACTGTAAGACTTATGACTTTAAAACCTTTTCTTATATATAGATGTATGGATGTGTATCTTTTCTATACTATATACTACCTCTTTGGAAATTGAGGGAAAGCATTTCAATTTTAGTCAAGAATTTGTCCATTTAGTTCACGCATTGCCTAAATAAATACCTGCCTGTTACGAGCTAGGAAGACAGAGTGAAAACTTTGTACTATTTATTTCTAAAGATTTTTGAGTGTAGTCAGTACATAAGCCAGTATTCATAATACAGTGTGAGTGCCCAGAGTGCCTTCCAACATAGCTGGACAGTGTACTTGGTCTGTGGGGTCAGAGAAGGCTTTCAGTGAAGTGACACCTGAGTTGACCCTCAAGGAATGAGTAAGAGTTGGCCTGAGGATATAAGAGCCTGTGTTTCAAGCAGAAAGAAGAAAAGATAT